GGTAAAAATTAGCTAGGAAAATGTGTATCTCGCCTAGACAATTGAGGTTACTTCCATGGAGGAAAATGATAGTTCATCCTTATAGGTCAATAAAGTCGCCTTAGTTCCCTCTACTGATCAACTCTTATAAAATTATTTAATCTCTCTTTCCTGCTCCTGGCTGGCCTAACAAATTGAATTGCCTTGTTTTCTCTCCATTTGTATGACTTGTCTCCCTTCTTCCTTGCTCCTTACTCGCCAAGTGAATTACTTGCACTAAAAATGCTGCTCTTTTCAATACCCAATAAGAACATTGACATAGAAAATCAAAGTTGTTAGAATTAATTCAATAGCATTGGAAGAAAATCAAAGTTGTTAGAATTAATTTAATAATTAATTTATATGAAACATTGTTCAATATAGAGTTTAAAATTAAAATCTTACTTTCGTGCATAAGAAAATACACAAACTAACAAAAAAAATAATCTAAAGCAAAAGACTTGCAAGTCGTGATGACAATTATCTTGAAAGATGTGCAAATAAAGAGAAACGAAGAAGAACACCTATTAATTTGTAGTTCTTCCTCAACATTGACTTTTTATGCCTTAGACCTCTTTATGAGGAAAAGAGATAATATTCAACATTTCGTTTTTATAACATACTCTCTCTCTCCCTCCCTCCCTCTTTATATCTATATCTATATATCTATCTATCTATCAGACGAACAATCAATCGCTTTTTAAACATAGATTTGCTTCTATCTCTTAAAATTTATTATTTCTTCTTCACCATACCATTAATAAGCGTGCATTCATCTGTTTGATTTCTTCATAGATGTTGGATTGATTTTAACCTATAACAAAGAGGAATTCTACACTATTGACAAACAATAGTAAGAGTAGGAAAGGCCTTGGTGCAGCTACTTGTAACTTGTGTGGGTATGATCGCGACTTAGTATGTCTAAATGATTCATGACTGCAAGTGCACAGTCGGATCGCGTAGTTTTAAAGATTATCGAACCCAAAGGACCAAGAATTGATCTTACCGTTATCTATGCTACTACGTAAATCTAAGGCTAATGGATTTTTGTTTAGGTTGAAATGCAAGAAAATAAATGTAAATTAAAATATGATTTAAATCAAGATATAACGGAATACCAGTATGTATTTTGTCAATCATCGGGGATTCAATAATTCATGGGCGTTATTAGAAGATCAAAATATTATTATGTAGAAAATACTCATTTAAAAGACTTTATCTCACACTCTCGTGTTTATTGACTCAGACTATACTCTCAAATCAGAATGAAGGCTCTCCTATCTCATTTGCGTTTAAAAACAATTTTTGAAAATAAGTAGATCCTAATTAATTCTAAAGCGCTATCGCTGTATTTAGAATTAACGTTTAGTTTCAGCTATCCGATTAGGACCTCAAACTCTCACTTTATTGATCCTAACCTTCGTTACCTTTTTACTCTCGTAACAAAAGTTATTAAGTTTAATAAAAAGAAACCAAGACCAGAGAAATAAATTTGTTAAGTTCACACCATGAATTATTAAACCCCTTCTGACCGATCGTATTTACATACCGATATTAAACAGTTTAACCAGACATGGTTTGTAAACAATGCATATAATGACAAGAATTAATCATAAGGCCAAACAAAATATAACTGGAAAACATAACAGTAAAAGTAAATAAGCAAAACCTGGAAATTACAATAAAACTGGAAACTGGAAACTGTTGAAACTTTACTTGAAAAAATATGTCGGCACGCTTCGTATTCGATTACAGAAATATGTTCAAAGAAATAATCTTAAAACTAGAATTGTAATAGCATCCCGGTGTGGAAGAACTATCACTTTTACAGGTAATACTTTATGCTTAAAATTCTAAAGAAACAAAGTTATAGCACACATTCTTCGATACCCGTTATAGAAACCAACCTTCTTATTTATAGCTCGGTAGCTTCGTGAAATTCAGTTCGTTTTCGTGCAATTCGATATGACTGAGTTCGAGGCGAAGGAATCTGGACGTGGAGAAAATATAGGATGGTCGTGGAGAGAAAAATGGAGAAAAAGTAGTGCATTAGGTCATGGCATTGTGACACTTGCCACCCTTTTCTTCTTTTTGAGTGTGGCAGGCGCCACACTCTTTCGCAAACTCATGTGGCAGGCGCCACAAGGATGGTGGTGGGCGCCACATGCATTAGGTGTGGCAGGCGCCACCCTTTTGTAGTGTGGTGGGCCCACGTCCATTTCTTTTATATTTTTTTTCTTTCTTTTGTAAATTCAATCCACTTCTAGTCAAGGTACCTAAAACAACAAAAATACCGGCATAACAAGACATAAATCATGATAAATCAGAGAAATTGTAACTAAAAATTCATGCAAGTCAAGTCAAATATACTATATAATTTCGCGTTATCAGGGTATGTTAGTGAAACTATGTTGCATGTTTTTCGTGAAAGTCCTCATGATTTGGAATTTTGGGTGAATTAAGTTCCAACTGAGATGCAGCGTGTTTTTTTCAATTTGAAGTTGGAGGATTGAATTAGCTTGAATATTAATTGGAGTTCTAATGAGAATGTTGGTTGGAGTTCTTATTGGGTGACGGGTTGTCATGCTATCTGGTATTGGCGCAACAAAGAGGAGCACATCAAGGATTTTGTAAGGTTGTTTGACTTCAACTTGCAAGTCTCTTTACGGTTGAAGCATATGATGAAGCCTTGAAAATGAATAATATGACAGTAGGGAGAAACAATGAAATTAGTCTTATTAAGTGGGTTTCTCCTAGTCTATATATGGTAAAATTTAATGTTAATGGTGCTTGCATAGAGGGCGTTGCTGCGAGCTGCATGGGAATTGTCGAGACGATAATGATTGTTGGATCGATGGTTTTGCCAAGAATATGGGCCTTTGCAGTAGCTACATGGCTGGATTACAGGAATTACTCGAAGGTTTGATGTTTGTCTTAGACTTTGGATTTAGAAGAATAGAAATAAATTCAGATTCTTCTGAAATTGTTATGGATATTACAAAGGGAAGATCTCGAAGAACTGAAGGTTTAGAGATGTTCAAGAAGATTAGGAGTCTTTTGAATAGGTTCAATGAAGTCTTTGTAAAGCATGCGTTTAAAGAATGTAATCGATGTGCGGATATATTAGCAAAAGTCATGCATTATTATACTATTGCCTCTAATTATATTAAAAATTTATTAGTATTGTGGTGGGGGGAGGGTGTTTACATTTCTAAAGAGGTGTCTTTGTAATTCTTCTTTTTCTTTGGGCCTTTGGCCCTCTTTATTAAAAAAAAAAAATCTACACTATATCTTACTCATCAAAAGGTTAGTAGCTGATCTTTGTGGTTTCAACACATTTTTGTAATTTAAAATTAAGTTTTATTTAAATTAGAGGTTTTTGTATCAATTAAAATTATATATGGTTGTAGTCTGTTTAAATTTAAGGTTTGTGTATCTGTTAAAACGATTTAGAGTTTTAAGGATTTGTCTAAATTTAAGTTCTGTAAATTATTTATCATCATGAAAATGATATTTATGTTGTTGTTTCTTCACTCTCTTTATCACCGTCATCAATGTCTTGAATTCTCATCTCTTCTTGTGTATGCTTTACTTATTTCAAAGAGTTGAAGACCCTTTAGTACCTTTGATATCAAATTAACTTCAACAATTTCATTTTTTAAGCATGTTTGTGACTTGAAGGCTGTATTTTAATATAAACTTAGGGTTCAAAAACTGTTTTTTTTTTATTTTAAAATTTGAAATTTATAAAATTTATTTGTTTGATAGTTTAATTTTACAAAATTATTTTTTATTTGAGTGTTTTAAAAAAAAATAAAAAAAAATAAAATAGGTTTTGGAAATTTTTAGTTTTAATTTTAGTTTAGAAAATTAGAAAGGAAAAAAAATAGTACGATTTTCATTAATGATAAATTTGTAATTTTGCTTTATTTTAAAACAATTTTTAAAAATTAGATTATCAAACGTATTTTTTTTTTAATTTTTTCTTTGAATTTCTTTTTTAAAATTGATTTAGAAAATAATTTTTAAATACAAAAAACTAAAACTCATTCAAATGAACTTTAAATATTTGGATTTGGATCAAATCACATCATAAACATATGGATTAAACAAAGTTTTTTTTTTTTAGGTTATTCACTCCTATTTTAATCAAAACTTCCTTTGATATTAAATGTTTAATCAAATAACTTCTATAGATTTAGGTTAAACTCTAATATACAATTTTATTATGATATCCTTTAATATTAAGAGTGTTTAATTTGACAGGATGTATTAAGAAGATTTCAAGTGTGATATTATTTATCTTAAAAACCAATTTTACAAAAATGAGTTGAGTCAAACTTTAATATGCAATTCTATTATAATGTTAACACAAATTATTATATTTATGGTCTATGTTAAGAGTTTCACGTCGGATAATATATAATATAAATATGTATTTATAAATGGTGTCCGTTCTCATTCTACCAACTAATTTTGTATAATTGAGTTAGATTCAATCACATTTCTTAACATGGTATCAAAAACTACGTTTAAAATCTGGTGAGCCACCTTTTATAATTTCCGCTATCAAATTACTCACCATTTATTTTCATGCTCCAATTATCTAGTCCTTAACTTTTATAAATGGGGTGAGTCATGACTCTACCAACCAGACTCCATCAACATACAACAGACTCAATTTGTCCAATAACTTTGTCATTCATGGTAATTTTCTCCACCTCAAAGATATAGTATATGCAATACTTTATTTATAACAAACAAACAAAAGAGTATGTGATGCCATAAGGTGTCTTGATTTCCAAGGTTATCCATTTTACAATCAATCAAACCACACATTACAACAAGGGACCAAACCTCTTAACTCGTGCGGATCCACTCAACAAACTATCATGTATCTCACCACATATTCATCCTATCATGTGAATATTAATGAGAACAAAACACACACATTTATTCACATCACTAGTAGCAACTACTAACTAGTACTTCATGAATTGCAACAGTCCAACTCGAATGCTTCTAACCAGCTCCTGCACACTTAGCCTGAATTCATCATCCATCTGCATTTTCACCACATCACAAACCAACTAAGTAACATCAAACAAAATCAACACTGTCGTATAATGTTAAAAATATGTTACCTCAGCTATGATGGTTATGTCAAGTTTCGTGGTTCCAAAAAGCAAGGTACTGTTACTAATGACAGAAAGATGAAGATTCTCTATCACGTGTATTATCTTCATCAACACACCTTTTTCTTTCTCACAGTGAATTCTTATCAGCACGTTTTTCTCTGACACTCTTGCCTCAACTTCTGGCAGTGACCTATTCGGGTGACAATAATTATTACCACCATTTCCAGAATTTGATGAAGTGTCTGAAACTGAAACATCTTCATCTGAAGAACATGACTTTGTTGTCTTCTCAACATAAACCACAGATTCAATGTTTTTCCTTTGGTTCTTCTGTTCCAATATCTTCACTTGTTCTTGAAGCTGTTTCACATGGTTTATTGCATCTCCTAACACAGAAGCCTTATCCATCTACAAACCCATATGATTAATTAATTAATTAATTAATTAGTAACCCTTATGAATCTAATTAAGAAATCAACAATAAAATCAATTTGGGTATCATTATTAAGCATAAAAATTGAACCTTTTTTAAATCTGGAATCAGTGCTGAAAGAGCTATGAACTGTTGACTAAGTTTTTCTCTTCTTTTTCTCTCAGCAATTATGTGATCTTGAGCATGTTTTGCAACTGAATCACTCTTTTTGCTCTCTACAATACTTCGTTTAGTTTCCTTTTTCTGATTTTCCGATAACCCTTGTGAGGTTAAACACTTGCCATAATTCAAAATCTTACCTTTAGGTTCTAGTTCTTGTTCTTGCTCTGGTTCTGGATTGTTGAAACAGAGAACGTAGGAATGAGACCCTATATTTGAAGGGCTATTAGTCTTGAGTGTCTTTGTAGGTCTCTCAAAGCTGTTAACAACATCTCCTGAGGAATTACTCATAGTGCTTGAGGTTGTGTGAGAACAATGGCTACCACTGGACAAAGATTGTTGCAAGATGTTATGGTCTTGTGACAAAGGTACTATGTTTATGTCATTGATGATTTTGTAATCTTCTGGATCCTAAACATGTGGAAAACTCAAGTGTTTATGCAAAATAAACAAAAACATTCAAGGGTGTACAAACAAAAAAACATTATTTTGTTTACCAAATCACATAACCAACTTGTCCATGACTCATCATTTGGTGTCATTTTGCTAGCTGCAACTTCCATCATGAGTCAAATGCAAGAACCTGAAAATAACAAGAAAATAAAGTAAGACCTGAAATTTAGATGAAAACTTGAAATGAACACATAATCAATTGAAAATAGGATCCATGCCTTTCTGTCTGAATAGTGTGAGAGAAGTTGCTTTGTTTATCCTTTATATAAAAGACTATCAATGATAAATTATACTAGTACTTGCTACAATGCTACAAAAACAACAACCTCACTTATTTTTAATTTTATATAATATAATTTTTAATTTTTTTTTTTTGGATTTTTTCTGATTTTGTTAAGTTACTTATGTGGATGTGGTATTTTCTATTTAAATGGTAGCAGAGATTTTATCACTTTGAAACAAAAAAATGACTAATTGAATATTACTTTTGAATAATAGTATACCATTTTGAAACAAAAATATTATATAAAAGAGGGACCACATATGCATAACCTGACAAAATATATGTCATTTTAAAATATACAGTAAATAGAAACTAAATTAAAATTTAAAATAAAAGATAAGAGGCTACAAGTGTAATTTAGGATAGTATGGTGAAATGTGATCTCAAATTTTTTTTTCTAGCATATAAGGTTAATATTTTACATGTCAATGGTATATTCCTAGTAAATTAAAATTGAGGTGCTATGGTACCGCCTTTGAAAACGTGTAAGAAGGATTGTTGTTTAATACGATTTTATTTTTATTTTTACATGATAAAATTGCAAGTAAACTACATAAGATTTTTAAAAAGTTGAGACACATCTTACATTTACTCATTTTTTAATTTTAACTTTTTCATTTTTTTTCTTTTTTGTTTTGATTTTGATTTTAAATTTCTCTCATTTTCTCACTTTTATTTTAAATTTTTTCTCTCTATTTTTTTTCTCTTTTTATTTTCCTAAATATAAATAAATTAATAAATTGGACGTCTTTTTAATGAAATGAAGAGAAATAACATAATATTAGATTTTCAAAACACAAAATTTAGTCTCAACAAAAAAACATAATTGTTTCATGGTTATTAAAAAATTATTCATAGTTACTAAAAATGAATTCATATTTATAAAATTAACAAATTATTTTATCAAATTGTTCAGATAACTAATGAGTCATTATCAACACAATATCTATTTTATTTTTAATCAACAATTATTTATATTTGAGAGACAAAATTATTATTTTTAAATGTTAATTTTTTTCTTACACCATCTCATGAGTTTTTTTTAATGTTATTTAATATAATTGAATTTTTACAATCATTTTTCATTTTACACTTAAGTAACTTATTTAGAATTTACATTTATATCTATATACATTTTATACCATATAAAATTGAATAATATTCAAGAGTCGTGTAAACAATTAGTTTTCCGTCTTATTTCAAATTTACAATTGAGCCATTATTGAAACAATGTCTATTTAATACAAATGGGTTTATATAATTATTATTTATTTTATAATTAAATACACTACTAAAAAATTCGCTTTTAGTGACTGAAAATTTTTGGTTACTCTAGTGACTGAACTAACTATCAAAATTAGACATTATGTTAGTAAAATTTTAAAAGTCACTAAATCGATCACTAAATAAACTTAGCCACCGAACTAGCGACTGATATTTTGTAACCATAATTTTCAGTCTCAAATAATCATTTTTATATAAATTAATTTATAAAAAAAACTCAGTGGCCAAAAATTCACTCACTAATATTTTTTATTCTTTTTTCTCATTATTAAGTTGCTTCCCTCCTGATTTTCTTTTTCTTTTTTCCAATTTTTTAGTCAAAATTTTACATTTTTACTGTTTTAATAAATAAAATTTATATTTATATAAATGATTAACTCATACAAATTTATTGATTTATATAAAATATAATTTTAATGATAATTAGTATAAGAATCTTTTCAAATAATATTTGAAAGTTCTATTTCATTAACAATATATACATTTCAAATGTAAATTGAACAACCAAAACCAAATAGCTAATATATACATTTCAAATGTAAATTGAACAATCAAAACCAAATAGGTAAGTGCACACCCAAAAACTTCACAACTGAAAATATACACTAAAATCGGTCACTAAATTCGTCTCTTAAGGTTAACGACATGCACTTTTCCAACCGAAATTTGATAGTCGCATTATTGGTCACTAAACATTATAGTAACGATTTTTAAACTTTTTTAGTCTCTAATTCAGTCACTAAACGCGAATTTTTTAGTAGTGGTATCTTATTTCAAATTTACATCATTTTATATTATACTACCTCTGTTCTTTTCTATAAAAGACAATTTAATTTTTAGGTTCATTGAATAACTAATATATTTGATCGGTTTATGGACTAGATACATCAATTATTTAATAAATTTAAAAAATAAATTGTCTCTTATATAAAAAATAGAGATAATATTAAATATAATAAGAATAAAATTATAGTAGTACTTGCTGCTACAAAACAAAAATCTCACATATGTATATTTAATTTATTTTTTCTTATTTTTATTTTAGTTTTACATATGTATATTAAATTTATTTTTTCATATTTTTATTTTAGTTTTGGAACTCTTTTAGATTTTGTTAAGTTATGTAAATGTGGAACTTTTTAGAGAGTTTATCACTTAGAAAAAAGAATGACTGATTGAATATTACTTTTGTAAAATAGTGGACCATTTTGAAACAAAAATATATATAAAAGAGGGACCACATATGTATAACTTGACAAAGTATATGTCATTTTAAAATATAAAGTAGAGAGAAACTAAATTAAAATTTAAAATAAAAGATAAGAGATTAAAAGTGTAATTTAGTATAGAATGGTGAAATCTGATCTCAATTTTTTTCAACTACTAGCATATAAGGTTAATACTTCTTACTTGTACTATGATATATTCCTAGTACATTAACTTTAATATTGAAATTGAACCGTACTATAATTTGTCTAGTCTATATATTTAGGTGCTCTAGTTAGATTGTTAAATTGGATTAATGATTTATCTATTTTGAACTAACTCTCACATTAGGGGATTTAGAAAATTTAGAAAATTTAAAATGACTTAATTTTTAAAAAAAAAGACTGTGGTGATGAAAATACACAAAGATATGATATTTTCTCTTAAAAGTATTTTTTCTTATAAGATTTAAAGGTACTTTTATACTTTTTATGATTGAATTTATTTTATCTATAACTATATATAAAGGTAAAATTTATTTTTAGTGTAGTCTTTTTTTTTTCAATTATATTATTTTTTTATTTTATAAATAATTTAATTAAAATAAAAAATAAATACATAAAAAATACCGTTTATATTTTAATCCGTTTGTGTATTAATAAAAGCGGACACGGTGACAGTCTGAACGCTAGTATATAAATAAATAGAATTGTTCAGGATTGTTTTACTAGGTTTAAATTGTTGTATATTAATTTATTATTGAAAAATAATCTATTTTAAACTAATGAAAAGGGTTTAAATCATTTAATACAGCTTTTAAGTTAATTAATAGTACCTTTAGTAAAAGTTTAGTGTAACGAGATCTCCAAAAACATTTTATAAAAGGAGCTTAACTTTTTGTGTATTAGAAAATAGGATAGATTACAAACATGTTTAAAAATGTCATTCCCAAGCAATATTAAAAGCAAGAGGAAGATAAATCATGGTTGTCAATAATTAAATAAGAGAAAAAAATCCCTAACACATTCTAATCCAAAGTTTACGGTCATCAAATTTAACATTATCTAGTACTTAATTCATATAGTGGCACAATGGGAAGGAACCTTTTCCTCTGCAGAATATAAAATATTAAAATTGAAGATGAAATCGAAAAATAACTCATAGGAAATAGATGATATAAGATGCTAATATGCTATGGTATCCATGGCTCGAATCTTGAGATATTTTTCAATGCATTTTCTGTTTGGGAAAACATATTTTTAACGAGGCTATACATTAAAAATTATGATATTCTAATAATAGATAAGAATGAATGTGAATGTTGGATTCGGATATAGAGAAAAATACCATGGAGGAGTATAACGATAAAAAATAATTATTGATGACAATATCAAGAAACAATAACATATTTTATATTCTGAGTCAAAGATATTTCTCAAAAATAATTATTGATGACAATTTCCAGTTATTTAATGGGGAATGGGACCGAGAGCAATTTTTCAATGAGTTATTGTTCTTACTATTCAATTTATTAAAGGTGATTTTTAATATGTTCACCAAAAATTAATTAGTGCGGGTTAATATTGATAGTGTACAATCCGGTCTTTCTCGTAAAGCATTTTACTCTTATAGATTTTATGTTTGAGAAAATGTGTATAAATAAGGAAATATGGATTGGGTCTGAACTCGGAGTTAGAAGAGTCTGTCACGGTTTTAAGGCATTTATGAGAAATGATTGAGTTGGATCAATGTGAACGGGACAAATCGAAAAGGTCAACCTAAGAAATTGTATCTTACTGCTTATATATTTTAAACGTAATGACTCATCATTTAAGGCGAATGAGTAATCATAAATGGTCGGTCTCTAACACGGAAGCAAGAGACTTGATTTTCATTAATTATCCTCTAATAAATAAGAAGACATGGATAGTAATGACCAATCAATTGTCATTAGGGACTCAGAACATACAAAATTGCATATAAACTAGCAATCATGATACGAATGACAGATACATTTTTTCTTACGATATAATTTTATATTTGCGACTCTAACTGGCTCAACACCGATAGAGTTATCAATTAATGTATTAAGCGTGTATACAACCATATCCAACATCAACACCATTATTGTCCCATGATGGTAAGGGCGACCAACAACAACAACAACGACTAAGCCTCAATAGTGGAGATGCCCGTTGCTATGGAGGAATTGCGTCGACATAACAAGACATTTCAAAACAACATCTGTGATGTACAACAAGTCAACAACAATTCAAACCAATGGTTGACAACCATGAAGAGATTCGGGACTCATATGTCCTGGAAAACATTAAATCGCCCCTCCATGGAGTTGTTTTATGGCAAAAGTGATCCTCGAGAACACATCATTGCTATCAACACAAAAAGGGCCATTATCAGAGCGAATAACTTGCCAAATGCAAACTGATGAACCTTTTAGTTAGATTTACGATTGAAAATTAGCTTTGTTAATTGTTTTCTTCTACTTAATGAGCGAGATAAAGAAAGAAATTATGGTTTTAAAATGGGGACGTTTTATTAAAGGGATGGACGTTTTTACTAAAGGTGTGTTTGCCAAGATATCATAATCCAGTGTCTACGTATTTTCATGATGAAATGAGAAATCAAAGCTCCGTAGTTCTGCTTACTAAGAACTACTAGGTTGATTGTTTTTAAAGAGTAATCCTTTAGACATATCGAATGTTTTAAATCTTTGCTTGTTGCTCAATCTTGGAGACTAAATCCTTTGTTTCTTTCACATCAATATGGATAAAGCATACTCATTTTTAAAAATATTTTCGGAGGGCAAAAGGGCAGAAAACAAGTTTGATTGGTTTGAATATTTTGTTGGATGACGATTACTCAAATGGCTCAGTAAGGTTACTCGTATCCAAGTACTCAAGAAGAGGAATATAAGGTTCTAGACCACCTCCCTTTTTATCCTTAATTGCAAAAGGAGTTAAATAAGGTTAAAGTATTTTAAACGGACGACAAATACTTGAATGGCCGAGTAAGGCTACTTGTATCCAATTACTTGGGGAATGGAATATAAGACTCTAGATCAACTCATTTTTCGTCCAAGTTATTATGAAAACGAGTTTGACCTAAATTTGATTATGAAAATAGTTTGGATATGGTGTGGTTTAGAAGTTTTTTAACAGACGACAATTGTTTGAATGGGCAAGAAAGGCTACTCGTATCCAAACAATCAAGGAGAGGAATCAAAGGCTCGAGACCATTCCCATTTCACCCTTTTTGAAATGGTGTCTAAGTATGATTAGGTATTTTAGTTTTGAGTTGGATAAAAGGCACTTGACATTGGATTGAGGTTTTTATTTGCATTTGAACTGAAACAGGGTGAAATGACCTAAGGATTTTAGAAATGCTTGAGTAGTGGAAACGATTTTGATTTGGGAAAAGTGCTCGACGTTGGATCGAGTATTTGTTTTTGTGTTTTTTTTTAAATTGTTGATTTTAATCTTGAGAATTAACAATCAAATAATATAATAAAGCAGTAAAGAAAGCGGTAAAATTATTACACAATTATGGGAATGAGGATACATTTTTTCGAATGAAGATGTTCAATGCGGTAATTAACGATGCAAGATTAATACATAAATTATAAGCAGCAAAATATAAACAGTAATGAAATCAATTTAAAAAATAAATCAGGATTTGAGAAAAGATTGGAAATAAAAATCAAAGTTAACTATTGCAATTTGGCGCTATGTTAAGCAATTGTAAGACGATTCATGTAGAAATCAACCCTATCTGAGTCCGGTCAACAAAACTCTATGCATTCAAGCAGTTTCTAAAATTAAATTGAATCTTAATTCCGAAATTGCAGTGCATCTGTGAAAAACCGATGATTTAAGCGACAAAAAGAAGCAAAAAATTGAATTAAAAGAATTTAGAGTTATGTTAAGCAATCGTAAGGCAATTCATGTAGGAATCAACCATATTTGAGTCTGATCAGCAAAACTCAATGCATTCAAATTGTTTCTAAAATAAAATTGAATCTTAATTCTGAAACTGTTGTGCATATGTGAAAAATTGATAGGACGAAAAATCAAATTTTTTATTAACAATTAAAAATAAATAGTTTACTTAATAAATAAAATAAACAATAATAATAAACAAATAATAATAATCATAACAATAAATAAAAATACTAATAGCAATAAATAATGGTAACAATAATATTAATTATCAATAAACAATAATAACAATTATAATCATAATGACAATAATAATCCAAAACAATAATAATCAATAATAATAATAATAATAATAATAATAATAATAATAATAATAATAATAATAATAATAATAATAATAATAATAATAATAATAATAATAATAATAGTTAGTAATAATCAACATAATAGACGTTGGATCGAGTATTTGTTTTTGTGTTTTTTTTTTTTTAAATTGTTGATTTTAATATTGAGAATTGACAATCAAATAATATAATAAAACAGTAAAGAAAGCGGTAAAATTATTACACACTTATGGGAATAAGGATACATTTTGTCGAATGAAGATGTTCAATGCGGTAATTAACGGTGCAAGATTAATACATAAATTGTAAGCAGCAAAATATAAACAGTAATGAAATCAATTTAAAAAATAAATCAGGATTTGAGAAAAGATTGGAAATAAAAATCAAAGTTAATTATTGTAATTTAGCGCTATGTTAAGCAATCGTAAGACAATTCATGTAGAAGTCAACCCTATCTGAGTCCGGTCAACAAAACTCTATGCATTCAAGCAGTTTCTAAAATTAAATTGAATCTTAATTCCGAAATTGCAGTGCATATGTGAAAAACCGATGATTTAAGCGACAAAAAGAAGCAAAAATTGAATTAAAAGAGTTTAGAGTTATGTTAAACAATCGTAAGACAATTCATGTAGGAATCAACCATATCTGAATCCGATCAGCAAAACTCAATGCATTCAAATTGTTTCTGAAATAAAATTGAATCTTAATTCTGAAACTGTTGTACATCTGTGAAAAATTGATAGGACGGAAAATCAAATTTTCTATTAACAATTAAAAATAAATAGTTTACTTAATAAATAAAATAAAATAAAATAAACAATAATAATAAACAAATAATAATAATCATAACAATAAATAAAAATAATAATAGCAATAAATAATGGTAACAATAATATTAATTATCAATAAACAATAATAACAATTATAATCATAATGACAATAATAATCCAAAACAATAATAATCAAAAATAGTAATAATAATAATAATAATAATAATAATAATAATAATAGTTAGTGATAATCAACATAATAATAGTTATAATATACCTTAATAAAAATTAATCAAGAAAAGTAATAATCAATAATAATAAACAATAATCATAAAATAAATAATGATAATAATAAATAATAGCAATAATGATATAGTTAGTAATAATCAGACAAGAGGACCCCATGTCCCCTTTGTTGTTTGTCATAATGATGGACTACATTAACAAAGTTATGGTCAGGATGTAGTTGAATCCTAAATTCAACCATCATAGTAAGTGTGAGAGGCTTGGCGTAACCCATTTATCTTTTGCAGATGATGTTTTGTTGTTTAGTAGAGGAGACCTTAAATCTGTTGAGTTAATTCTTGGAGCTTTCAAAACTTTTTTTGAGCCTACAGACTTGAGCATGAATCCTAGTAAGTGTACAATCTTTTGTGGTGGTATGGAAGCTAGTAGTATTAAAGAAGTGAAGAATTTTTCTGGGTTTGAAGAGGGTCTTCTTCCTGTGAAATATTTAGAAGTACCGGTTGGTAGAGTGAGGATTGCCCCCACTTATAAACACATGTTCATGCCATATATTGTCCGATGTGAGACTCTTAACACACCCCCTCACGCTCAGGACTAGACAACTGAAGTGTGGAAATAAATGGTGGGTGGCCCGATAGCGGAAACCATAGAAGGTGGCCCACCGGATCTTAAACCAGACTCTGATACCATGTTAAGAAATGTGGTTGGGTCTAACTCAATCCTACAAAACCGGTTGGTAGAGTGAGGATTGCCCCCACTTATAAACACATGTTCATGTCATATATTGTCCGATGTGGGACTCTTAACACACTAAGCTTGAATCATTATTTGCCTCTGGTGGATAAGATTTTAGGTTGAATGAAGCATTGGTCTGCAAAGTTGTTGAGTATAACTGGTAGATTACAGTTGATTAAGAGCATCACTATGGCAATAACTCAATACTGGATGAACTGTTTTCCTATTCTTAAAGGAGTCATTCACAAGATAAATGCAATGTGTAGGACTTTTATTTGGTCTGATCAGTCTCATAAGAGCAAGAAAAATCTTGTTGCATGGTCTAAGGTTTGTAGGCCTGTCATCCAAGGGGGTCTGAATATGCTAAATTTAGAAATATGGAATAATGTGATCTTGTTGAAGTACCTTTGGAATATTTTCCAGAAGGTGGATAACCTGTGGGTTAAATGGGTGCATGCTTACTACTTGAAGGGGGAAGATGTGATGGATGTTAAGATAAGAACCAATTGTTCTTGGATCCTGAAGCACATAATGGTAAAAAGACACATGATGAATCAAATTCAACAAAGTTGGGATGATATGCTGAGGAGCAAGAAATTTTCAATCAGGAAAATCTATTTGCTATTAGTGGATGATCATGATCAAAATAACTAGTGTCATTTGGTCAGGCATAATGATGCTAGGTCGCGAGCAGTGGTTTATTGCTGGCTTGCTTGTCAAGGCCGGTTGACAACTAAACCAAGACTAATGAATTTGGGTTTGTTGCAGGACATTATTTGCAAAATCTGTGGTGTGGCTGATGAGAGTCAAATCATCTTCTTTTTTAGTGTAGAGAATTAAAGAAGATTTGGAAAGAGGTTTTGAATTGGTTAGGCATTGCCCATAATCCTCGATGCTGGAAGGATGAATTATGCCGGATTTTAAGTCAAACAAAAGGAAAATGAAGGAACGCGGGTTTAATCAAGATGGCGGCAGCTGAGACAATTTATGGAGTTTGGCGTTACCGTAATGTCGTGGTTTTTGAAGATAAAAGAGATAATAACAGAGTGACGAAAGATATTATAGATATAGAGGGTGGAGTAAACCAAAGTATAAGTTCCTTATAACAAAATTCTTATTGTAATTGTTTGGTTGATTTCGTTGTTTTTTGGGTCATGGGTTGGACCCTAGGCGACCGCCTTGTATATTCTTTGCCTTTTGAAATACATAATCTTTTATTTCAAAAAAATAAAAAATAATAGTAATATAATAATAGTAATGATATATAATAATAATAATAATAATAATAATAATAATAATAAATATAAATAATAATAATAATAATAATAATAATAATAATAATAATAATAATAATAATAATAATAATAATGGGAGTGCAGTTGAGAGAAAGAGAGAGAGAGAGAGAGAGAATTTGACTCCCCCTACCCATGAGCCGACATGTGGTAGGGAAATTTTTTTATAAAAAAAAACAAAAATAGATTCATCTTCTTCCCCTATCGTACAACAACAACAATAACATTCACATCAATTTTTTTAATAAAAAATAACCTGTCTCTCTCAATCAGCTATCTATGTTTTACTCTCTCATCCTCATGTTGACAACATAACCAACAACAACAACAAAAACATAAAAGAAAACTTATTTTTTTGAACACTCTTTCCGACGTGTGTTTGGTGTCAGAATTAGTGGTAGTCGTGAGGTTGTTCAGTGGTTGGGTGCAGTGGTGCTTCAGTTCATTTCAAGGGGTTCATGGATGGTAATGAGCGGCGCCGGTGATGGTTATATTGGACGTTGTTTGTGTTGTTGTTTGAATGAAGGTGGTGATGGTTTTGGTGGGTGCACACAATTTGAGATCAGTTTTGTGGATGGAGCTTAGGTCGTTAGAGTTGTATCGCACAGTGGTTGAAAAATGAAGGGTGGAACCGCGAGTTAGACCAATCTTAAATATTTGGACACTTCACCAATTTTTTTTTTAAATGCAGTTAATCCAAATGAACAATCCACTAGTGTGTGTATATATATATATATATATATATATATATATATATATATATATATATATATATATATATATATATATATATATATATATATATATATATATATATATATATATATATATATATATATATATATATATATATATATATATATATATATATATAAAAGATTAATTATTATACATTGTCAGTGTAAAATTTTTTACACAATCAATACACTACAATATCACAACCATTCAGTTATATTACTTTTAAAGTAGTTAAAATAAAAGTTAAATTTTTTAATTAATTCAGTGGTTGTAATTAACTGACATTGTAAAAAAAAATTTACGTGTGTATATCAACTAAATTATATAATAGAAGATAAAATAAGAGGAAAACTAAAGGGAAACTAAATTAAGATCTATAATAAAAGATAAGAGGTTAAAATTGTAATTTAGTATAAGTTTAAATAGTTTATTGGTCCTGTAAGTTAGCGAATTTTTGAGTTTGTTTCCTGTAACTTATTTATTTTTGTCGAGTTCCTATATCTCATTCTTTGCGTGTGGTTTGGTCCCTAAGGTCAAAATTTACAGGAAAGTTCGATTTTTCTTCAAATTTTCTTGCAGATTTTGACTTTAGGAACTAAAACGCACGCAAAAAATGAGATATAGAAACTCAAACAAAAAAATTTATAAGAACTAAATTCAAAAATTCGATAACTTATAAGAACCAAAAATGTATTTAAGCCGTATATTAATGAAATATGATCTCAATTTTTTCAACTATTACTAATTACTATTTTTTTACATATATTATGGTATATTCCTTACTATCATTTGTCTAGTATAGAATTAGATGCTCTAATTGGATTGTTAAACTGATTAATGATTAATCTATTTTGGACTAACTCTCACATTAGGTGATTTAGAATCTTAAGAAATTTTAAAATAACATTATTTTTTTAGAAGACTATGGCGATGAGAAAGGGAAAGATATGATATTTTCTCTTCTTAAAATTATCTTTATTTTTATAAGATTTAAAGTTACTTTTACATTTTTTTTTATGAATGAATTTTTCATGTATATAAATAAATAAAGATTTTCAGGGTTGTTTTACTAGGTCCAAAATATTGTATATTAATTTATTATTGAAAAAGTCCATTTTATACTAATGAAAAGGGTTCAAATAATTTAATACAGCTCTTAAGTTAATTAATAGTACTTTTAGGAGACACTTTTCTGTTTGATTATAAGATGGATGTATGAACCTGTTTGAAAATGGCATTCACCAGCATATTAAAAGCAAGATAAGTTATGAGTTGTCAATAATTAACTAAGGGGAAAAATCCCAAACACTATCTTATCCAGATCGTAGGGTCATTAAGTTTAACATAGTCTAGTACATAACTCATCTGCAGAATATAAAATATTAATTGAAGTTAAAGTAGAAATACAACTTAAGATAAGAAGATGCTCAACCGCTATGATATCCATGACTCGGATCTTAAGATATTTTTGTATGCATTTTCTGTTTGGGGAAACATATTTTAAACGAGGATAAACATTAAAAATCATAAGATAAGAGTGACTGTGAATGTTGGATTCCGAGATTGAGAAAAATACATTGGAGTAAGGGTGGACAAAATGATGACACCCTTCCAAAATCGATAAAATTGAATTCAAAAATAATCAAATGGTAAATGAGAAAAATACATTGGAGTAAGGGTGGACTAAATGATGACACCCTTCCAAATTTGATAAAATTGAATTAAAAAATAATCAAATGGTAAATGGTCACTGAGTTTATGAGTGAGAGATTTTTGTTTTGTGTCATTACAAGAAATAATGCAAGTACTTACGTAGAAATCACGTCACTAAGATCAAAATCACATTACTAAATGAAATTAGCGACGTGAGCAAAACACGTTGTTGGAGCATCTGTGACAATATTTTGCCACATGAATACCACGTCACTAATTAGTGACATGGAACTCACGTTACAACATACAAAAATATTGCACTTTGTTCCCACGTGAAAAACACGTCACTAAATTGTGACAAGTTTTTCACGTTGCAAACTCTGAATTATGAAACCTACAGATGTGTCAGTGTTGACATGGAGTGTTGTGAATATCCAAAAGACTTTATCAATTTTTTATACATTAGTTGAATGACCCGACTTATAGCTTTTGCAGCATTCTGACACGGATAAAACCTAAAAACAACAACAATTAGAATAAGTATTAATTAAGTATAAAAATGGCAATATATAGTTAAATAAATATTCTAAGTTAAAACTTACCCTGATTCATCGGGCATAATAAGAAGTCGTCCTCCAACCATTACCTGTTCTTCTACATCAGGATTTGCATGCTCCTCGCGAGCTTCAGCATCCTCCTGAATAGGGTCATCTTCCTTCTGACGTGCAGGTATATGTGTGGGATGTGGAATGTAGGAACTAGATCCCTCAGCAAGCTGCAAGAAGGATGATGGTACCTGGGTAGGATGTGAAAAACTAGATCCATCAGGTTGTTGCGTGAAGTAAGACTGCTGAGAAAAACTAGATCTCCCAGGCTGCTGCGTGAAAGAATAGTGTTGAGGAAAACTAGATCCCTCAAGTTGCTGCGTGAAAGAGGACTGTTGAGAAAAAAACAGATCCTTCAGGTAGCGTGAAAGAAGATGGTACATGTGGAAAACTAGATCTCCTAGACTGTTGCATGAAGGATGATGGTACATGTGGGAAACTAGAACTCCCAGGTTGCTGCATGAAGGATCCCCCAGATGGAGAATGCCCAAACGGGCTAATAAAAGTTGGACTCCCAGATGGAACCATATAGGAGGAGGAGAGTAATGTCGTAAATGACTAAGAAGTGTTCATAG